TTAAAAGTTTTTGATGAATTATCATTTTGCACTTTAAAATATTTATCGTCATTTTTTATTGCTTTTTTGGGCTGCTGATTCTTTTTTCAAATCACCGTTGTGTCATTTTTAAGAGCCGGAGAAAATCAATCATATGATGGTAGCACGAATTATACTAAAAAAAAACTACTAGATAAAAAATGGCAAGAATGATAAAATAAAAATAACAATAAAACGTAAAAATTGAAATAAAAGTCGTATAATAGTTTGAAATCATTTGTATAATAATAAAAAAACCTTTTAATTTTACATGCGTGAATGGTAAAATGAAAATATTCAAGTTTTAATCTTTGATTTGTTTTATTTTTATATTGCAATCAATTTACTTTTGATTATATATTTTTTTAATTTATTTTATGATATATATATATATTTATTTATTTATTTATCTATTGATTTATATGTTTGCGTTTAAATTTCTAATAGGTTTATACATTATTTTGTATTTGCAGCACTGATCAAAATCGGTCTCAGAAATAATAATATACGGAATACAGCTTGTTATGACATTTCAACTAAATACGAAACAAAATATGTGTAACTGCTTTGTGAATTCCCTAAATGTTTTGTAGTTTGACATGTAATAATAGAATTCAGGTAGATAAAGTAAAATACTTATTAAAGAAAACAAAACAAAACTTTTTTCAGCAAGCTTTACTTTTAGTATATGTAACAAAATAATAACTTTTAAGATTTACAATTTGGACACAGGTTTACACAGATCTATACTAAAAATGTTACACGATTAGTTAAGCATCTGACATATCTTCAAAGTGCGTCCAATATTTAAAACATCGTGACAGATTTTTCACGAGTGAGGGAATGAAGCTTAGTTTATGAAAAAGAGTTCTGTAAAGTAAGGTCAAACGGTTATTTCACAGAACTGATATGATATATAATAACTAATTTGTACATGTATAAAGCTACTATTATTATCTATTCTCTTTACAAACTATAATGATATATATTTTCATCTAGGAGGGTGTTTGAGAATTAGTAATTTTGTGAAACTGATAGGCTAAGTAAAATTATATTGGAATTCGTTACAAACATAATTTGTATTTATACTTGCTCCAAATATCTGTAATTTTAGCTAGAAGTAAACACGGAATGTAAATTACATTACTTTTGAAAACGTAGAGAAAAGTACTTTTTAGGGCACATTTTCAAGCTCGCAACTGCCCAAAGCGCGACATTAATAATTGTTGGAGGGTTGCGTCCAATCCAGATGCGATGTAGTTTACAAGGGGTGGCAAGGTCATTTACACATTTGCGAGAACTCTGTAGCCACTGAGGTTTATAAAGGGTTTCTGCCGGTATGGATATCGTATTATTCCATTTTAAATCATTTATAAGTATTGCGAACTTGAATTCAAAAAGGTAAACAGCAAATTGTAAAGTAAATTTAATACTTAAATATTTTTTACAGATTAAAATGACGAACTTAAACTACATTTATTTCTTAGTACGTTGATGTATTAGGCAGTGATTGAGATAGAATTTTCAAGCTATTGAAGCTTATTTTACCTGCATTTCCTACAACTAGACTTTTTTGGTCGAAATTATTTTTTAGAATGACGAATTTCATCTTTTGTTTATAAAGTACGAAATGTATTTTTGTGTAAATTAACTGAGTCACGTTAAAATAACTAAACATTTTACAATGAGATGTCTGTACCAAGCTATACATTATTCAAATTTTTATTGTAAAAGATTAACATTAAATCAATGAATGGTTTTAGTGGACCAAAAACGCTACTATACTAAATTATTAACACTTACACTATATGCCTCACAAACAAAACCTACTTACAAAGTCGCAAGGTCAAAGGTTGGACCTATTTAAAGCAACCTTTGTTAAGTAGTAAGCTCACGCAATGATAATATTATGTTTACAAAAGTAAAACAACTAGAGTACCTAATGAAGTTAACTTTATTGATTCAATAAAATAAATTTGACAAGCTAACGTTGCCTTAAGTGTTTTTCTATCATAAGCTATAGTAATTTACATTATATTTACTTAGCATATTGCAAAATCCTAGTCCCAAACAAAGTCCTTATTGTTGCAGTCCAAAGTCCAAAGTGTTGCATTATTCATAGGAACCCTCTGCTCCAACATGACTTGACCTACCTCGCTTCACTGAAGCATAAACCAATCTATTTTCTGCAGCGCACTATTCAGCAACAGATCATTTGAGGGTGGTGGAGGTATGCTCGTTGGAAGGCCTACACAAAGCCATTATTTATAGCCAAGATTGGTGATCGTTTGAGCTATGTTATCGAGTCATTAAAAAAAAAAAACTATTGATTCAGTAATTGCAACTCAATGGCGGTTCCGTACATTCTTTCAATTAGGTCGACGTAGAGAGGCTCCGTTGCGATTATCCTTATGGGCAATCAACCAAAGTAATTATATTAATTCAAATTAATCTTTAGAGATGAACATTTTAGCCAAACCTCAATGTAGTATTCTTTATACTGTATATTATCAGCTGTTGTCATTAGATATAAAACAATGTTTACCTTTTCAATTTGCAGTTGTAAATATTACTTTCAATAAAAGAGTTTATTCAAATGCGTGCTTATTATGAACTCTAATTCAAAGTCACAACAATTGGCGACGAGAAAAAGTTTTTCAAAATTTCTACTCATTATTTGGATTTAAAACCTTTTCTAAATTTTGATTTTGTACATTATGGATGCAGAACAATTTACAGCACTACTGAAAGCATTCACTGAGAGCCAAGTCACACTTGCAGCTACACTTGCAACGAAGATTACCGAAAAACTTCAACTTCAACCTCCAGTACAGCAGAGTAATACGTTAGTAAGTATTCAACCATTTGAAAATTTCGATCAGAAAAGGGAAAAATTTAAAAACTATTTGGAACGCTTTGAAAATTATCTTGCTGTCAAAAACATCTCAGATGAAATGAAAAAAGCACAACTTCTTTGCGCTTCAATTGGCTCTGTTCACTACAATAATCTTTCATCATTAATTGGACCTGAAAAACCTATCAAAGACCTAGATTTTGCTACTTTGGTCAAATCACTACGTGACATGCTTTCACCACACTGAAACGTTGTAGTTTCACAACATTACTTTTTAAACACTTATCAAAAAGCAAATCAATCAATTCCTGAATACATAGCTTCACTACAAAAAGACCTGTCTGAATGTGAATTTACAGTCCAGTGTGAATGTTCAAAACAAGTTTCAGTCTCAGATACATTTTTAAGAGCTCAATTCATAAGAGGCTTAAAAGATGACTGGATTCGAGAACAGTTATTACAATCAGACACTACTTCATTCAAAGACAGTGTAACCAAAGCTACTGCTTTGGAAGCTTCCCGATTAGAGACCCAGGCTTTGAACAAACATCAGCATTCAATTCCAACTGATGTAGATATCAATAAACTTTCAAATGTAGGTACAAAACATCAGAGAAGTCGTTCAAACTACCGTAAGAATCCAAATTCTGGTCATACTTACCGTTCTCAATCAAAAGTAGATTTCAATCGCCTAGGTTTTGGAGATCTTTGCTTTCGATGCGGTAGAAATAATCACCGCGCAACTGAGTGTCGCACTAGCAAGTCATCACTTCATTGCACTTCCTGTTCGAAACAAGGCCATGTAGCCAAAGTTTGCATTTCAACCCAAATGAAAAATAAGTCTTCTACCAATCAATCTAAGTTCAATTCAACAAAGTACATTTCTTCAACCTCTGATGACATTCCGCTAGGCTTAAATCAAATCACTGAAGTTCATCCAGTTACCAAACCTAATATCATAGACATATTTGACCAGAACGAACGATCAAATTTACCCGATTCACAAAAGTATTTTGCTACAGTTTCAATTGATAACAAACCAATGCGTTTTGAGATAGATTCCGGAGCAGGATTTACATTAATACCAGAAAAAGCTTTCAATGAGTTAAATCTCAACGTCAAACTTGACCCAACTAATGTGTATTTCCGTGCTTATACAAATAATGTATTTAAACCATTGGGCAAAGTTACAGTTGAGGTTACTTACAAAAACCATAAATCAATTGAAGATATGTATATAGTTCCTGATAATTGTCCAGCAGTCCTAGGAAGAGTTTGGATTCGACACTTACATATAAGTCTACAAGAAATAGATGATGGTTCAAATCAACCAAACTTTTTCAATGTCTCCGAAACATTCCATTCAATTGATGACATATTTTCTGAATTTTCCACAGTTTTCGACCAAAGAATTGGATGTTTGCCCAACCACAAAGTTACACTTCAATTACGTGAAAACGCTAAACCTGTGTATACCAAAGAACGTAATGTTCCGTTTGCCCTTAGATCTCAGGTTGAGGAAGAACTCAACAGTCTTGAATCATCCGGCATAATATCTAAAGTCGATGCTAGCGATTGGGGTTCGCCTTTAGTTGTTATTCCTAAAGAAAATGGCACAGTGAGGTTATGTGTTGATTACAAAACAGGCGTAAATGATCGTATTGTTTCATCTAATTTCCCGATCAAACACATTCCAGAAGTTTTACACTGTTTGCGAGACTCTAAATATTTTTGCAAGCTTGATATTTACAAGGCTTATTTGCACATTCCAGTTGATGCCCCAAGCAGCAAAATTCAAACTATTACTACACACCGCGGTACATACTTGATGCACAGACTTAGTTTCGGAATCAAGACCGCGCCTGCCGAATTCAATCGCATTCTAAGCCAAATTCTAAACGGGTTACCAAAGACTGAAGTTTATTTTGACGACATAATCGTGCATGGTACAACAAAAGATGAATGCTACAATAATTTACGGTTGTGTCTATTCCGTCTACATGCGAACGACTTGCATCTAAACAAAGACAAATGCAAATTCTTTTGCGAACAGATTGACTATCTTGGTCATGTGATTAAGTACAATCAAATTTCAAAAAGTCCAGAAAAGATTAGAGCTGTTTGTAATATGCCTCAACCAAGGAATATTGATGAGGTCCGGAAATTTCTTGGAATGGTTACCTACTACGCTCGGTTCATCCCAGACCTATCTACAAAAACAACACCTCTTCGACAGCTTCTACAGAAAAATAGAAGATTTCATTGGTCAATAGATTGTCAAACTTCATTTGATTGTCTCAAGGAGGAAATAACTTCTAAAAGAGTTCTCGTACCATATGACCCCCATCGTCCAATCGTTCTAACATGTGATGCCAGTCCTACCGGAATTGCAGCTGTAATGAGTCACATAATTGATGATGAAGAGAAACCGATCGCTTACGCATCCAGATCCTTAACTCCATCAGAGCGAAATTACAGTCAGCTCGATCGAGAAGCTCTTGCGATCGTGTTTGGAGTCAGTCATTTTTACAATTATCTGTATGGACTTCACTTCACCTTAATTACAGATAATGCCCCTCTTTCAAGAATTTTCCATGAAAGCAAATCCTTACCACCCATGACTTCCAGCCGACTACTCCGTTATGCATCTTTTCTATCAGGGTTTAACTATTCAATACGTTTCAAGAAAGGGGAAGCAAATGCTAATGTTGATTGTTTATCCAGAGCTCCAGTCACTCAACATTCTGAAACCTTAGACATTTTCCTAAACAATGAAGTTACCTTGCTACATTCAGAAACAATTTTTGAAATATCTTCTGAACATTTGAATGCAACTATTCTAGCCCGGGAAACAGAAGCTGACCAAAATCTTAGAGAAATTAAAAGGAAACTTTTGTCGTCTTCTACTGACCTACCATACACATTGGACAATGGAGTACTTTTCAAGGAAACTCGTGCTGTCATTCCTAACAGCCTTCAACCTCAAGTCTTACAGCAACTACATGCTACTCACATTGGTATTACAAAGATGAAGCAATTAGCCCGAAGATACGTTTATTGGCAAGGGATTGACAAGGACATAGAGAAATTAGTCCAATCGTGTGAAATTTGCGCCCACATAAAATTCAATCCTCCCAAAGCACCCCTTCATCCATGGGTAGAGCCAGAAGAAAACTGGGAGCGTATTCATATAGATTACGCGGGGCCTTTTCAAAACCACTACTTTCTTGTTTGTGTGTGTGCCAAGTCAAAGTGGGTAGAAGTTAAAGTATTGAGAAATGCTCCTACAACTTCCAATACTATCATTCTTCTCGACAACATTTTCTCATCTAATGGCTATCCTCAAGTGATGGTATCAGACAATGCCACAATTTTTACCAGCGCAGAATTCAAGAAATACTGTTCATCCAATGGAATTTTCCAGAAACTGATTGCACCTGGACATGCAGCTACAAATGGTCTTGCTGAAAGAACTATCCAGACTTTGAAGCAAAGATTAAAAGCATTGGAAGATGACCATCGTCAAATACATACAAAGGTTCAAGAGATTCTTCAACAATATCGCGCCACTCCTCTCTCAAATGGACAATCACCTGCAGAACGATATCTTCATCGTAGGATCCGCATCAAGCTGGATGCTCTTCGACCTTACCATCCGGCAAAGAATCCTCCTTCGATAATAAGAGTTCGAACATTCAATGTGGGGGAGAGAGTTCTCATTAGGGAGTATTCACAAAATAATAAATATATATGGACATTTGGTGAGATTATACAGAAACTAGGGACTCTTCACTATATTGTAAGGTTAGATTCTGGAAGAACACTGAAACGTCATCTAGACCAACTCCGGAAAACTCAAGTAAAGAAGGTTCGTGTAACCAAGCAGACAGACATTCAAAGCAGCAGCTTATTTTTCCGGACGGGCCTACGAGGACTGCTGTCTTAGCAGCACGCTCTCTATCGAATGTTAGATGTCTGGCGTCCGATCTGACTTCTGAGGTCGATCTGACGGCCTGTCAGCGTCTAGAATGCGAAAACCGTTGTTCTAAATTTAGTAACTCACCGCATAACTAATTGTGCTGCGGGCGGAACCTCTCAATCTTGACCTAATTGAAAGTACGCACGGACCTGCTGCTGAGTTGCAATTAGTGAAACAATACTTTTTAAACGACTCGATAACAAACGCACGTAGCTCAGGAGTCCACTTCTATGCCTACAGATAATGACAGTGTGTATTCTTTCAAACGAACCTATAACCCTCAGATGACCTGTCGCTTAACAGTGCGCTGCAGAAAATAGATCGGTTTTTGCCATATCCTATGGATTTGTTCAAAAATATAAAAGTTGAGTCATACATTGCCATTAATAAATAAACCTGGATGTTGAGATAATTATCTAAATAAATATGAAACTAGGTGGATTTTATCTTAAACGATATCTGAGTCTTTAGTCCCTTCATTTTATTTAGATTTAAGTAACACAAGTGAGAAAAGGTAGTAAATCACAACAAACAGGTCGGGTTGGATAACGAAAGTAATTACAAAAGAGTTGAAGTTCCAACGTAACTCGAGCAACTACGATTTGTTGTACAAAGGTCAGTAACAATACAATGATAACACACTGGACAACATTGTGTTCATACATATACGTTTTCATTGTTTGTATTTATTGTACTGGATTAGTAAAATTCATAGTTTTTGGAACAGATAAGGAGATGAAGTATTGTGAAATGTTGTATTATTTATTATGTTATATCTAGAGTGATCCCGGATTATTTAAGTCTTTGGTTAAGTGTAAAATACAGAGGTTTAATTGGATTTAATTTTTTATTTTGCATTTTGCAATTTTAGATTTTCTTACATTAATTTAGTTACTGTACTCAATTGAATATTGGAAATTTGATGTAAGAAAATATGTTGGTATACAAAATGCTTACATTGCAGAACTCCACACTCATGAAAAATACTTTAAAGATATAATTTTATAAATCACCTTTAGATGCTTTGTCCACAATATACGTCATGTTACTCAAGTGTTCATAAATTTATTGAATGATTCATAATTGAGAAAAATTGGACCACAACTATATTTACCAGCAATTGAATAAATAATGGAATAATTTAACTAAAGGTCTGTTGTTGACTAATTTTATATATGAAAAGGTTCAGTAACATGGGATTGGATCCTAAAAATATTATTCATTCTGTAAACTTATTTGAGTGCAAAGTTACTTCGGCCAGAGTGTTTTGTTGTGTCGCCTTTTACTTAAGAACAGTACTATTTTCATGCGTGTTTTAATGTGTAAGTTACATAGCTTACGAAACTGATTAATAATATACAAGGCATTATAAAGGTCAGTTATATTAGATTACTAGACCGTTTAATTTGCTACATTTTGTTATTTACAAAGAGAGGAAAAATTCTTATTTGAAATTGGTTTGGGCTATTGATGTTTAAAAACAGGAAACTATAGTAAAGACACCATCTATAAGGTTGATTATGTTTGTTAATTTTAGATGAGACATCGAACGCGCAAATAATAACCCATACAGCATCTTTGTACAAACAATCTGTACAGTATACTGTATACTTTTTACTGTCTCAAACTGTATGTATGGTATTAGATTAGATGTGTCCGATTCAATTTCTAGGACCCTGAATATTTTCTTGAACATAACCCTTAAAAGTAATGAAAAAGCAAGAAAATTAATCTTTACATAACATAAACTTCTAAATTGATTGTTTTATTCAATATTTTTTTATTAAATAATTCATTTAAAGCATAATAAGGTCTTAATGAATGATATGTACAAAAACAAGAAAAACGCACATTATATTAAGTGGAAAATAAATGCAAAGCAAATGACTTTAAAAGACACAGCGAGACTTCACTACTATTTACATCACCATAATTCCCTGTTCCATATGTATCAGCTGAAATATTCATGCTTAACTCCGTGTTGAGAACTGAAAATGGATACATCTGCATTACAAAATAGTTTTATGAAGATTCAGATTTAGAAAGAAGATATAGTCAAGGATGTATAACATTAACTAAAATTAGATATGTGTATGGTATGTATGTTCATAGTTTTGTGTGTGTTGCATTTGTGGTGAAACAGTTCTATAACCTAATAATTCAATATTTGATTACAAGTTAGATTTTCTGTTACTAATTGGTACCTAAATTATTATATTTAAGATCATGTTTGCTATTTACGAACTTTACAATATTTCCTACTCGGCATACAGTATTCAAGGATAAAACAAATTGTACATTGATAAAAAATATAACATATATTATTCCGTATTTACTGTATATACTTAATATCAAATCTAGTATTCCAATGAGGACTATTTAGTGGAATAATTTGGGAAAATAGCAATACGTCGAAATTACGCTTGTATAATACTTTATTTTTAAAACTTTAGGTCAATTTGACATTTTCTTACAAATTATCACTTTTCGATCCACAAGGATCGTGCTATTTTAGCATGAAGTAGTTAAACTTGATTTCATATCATGTTTTGAGAAAGGTTTCAAAGTCTTACACTCACAATAAAACGTAATACGAAAGATATTAACACAAATTTGGTGTACTAATTATTTTCGACAGTGGACTGTTGTGTTGCCAGAGGATAGTGAATCATGATTGTATAAACAATCTTTGGTTAAGCTAATTAACTTTTACCTTTATAGATTTTTCCTCAACCTTACACTACCGGATGACAAGAATACATACAGTAAGATACAGATACCTGTAGATGTTTATATTGTGTTTTTTGAACCCTAACTACTCATTAATTTAAATGTATAACATTCTATTAGGCTGTATGCCTATTATTTTTGTTGTATTATATGAAATTAAAATAAAATCTATAGTTCTATCATGTGTTTTATCCTAATATTCTCTGTTCATTCGTCCATAACAACAAATTTGCGTCTACATGTCACTTTGGTCCATACTTACCTAATTATTTGACCTAACTATATTTGAAGTAGGGTTTGGCCTTCTTCATTGCTAATAATAAAAGGCCATGGCTAAAATAACTGTACCTAGTGTGTGTGTATATTTTACATGTTAACTTTCTAAATTCAAATCAATACATTTCTATTGTTGTCATGAAGAGCATTCTCAACCATATGTTATCCCAGCACGTCAATTTCTGGAGCTTTTTACCAAATTTCCTTTTGTGAACCATAGATTTAACTTCAATATGGCAAATACTTACACGTCATATTTTTTTATAGGATCATCTATTTGAGTTTTTTTTCGTTCCCTTATCCAATGCAAATTAGGCAGTCATGACCTTCACCTGTAACTATTCGCACGCAGTCGGACGTTGTATGAATTTTGTCTGTGGGCATACTCGTTCGTGTAAATGTCCCCATTTGTATATAGTATATGTCTTGTTCCTTATTTAAACTTTAATATAAAAAAAGAACAACGTTTAGTAGAAAAAAGAACAACATGGAAGCCGATTACTTCCTTGACGGGAACCGGATGGAAAGGTGTGACACCATCAAGAACCTGGGCGTTCTGATTGATGCATCGTTTGATTTTGGACCGCACATAAGCCATATATGTGCCAGGGTGTCACGCATGCTGGGACTAATCTCTTGGACGTCAAGACATCCACAAAACACAAACATTCACTAGCTATCAAACTTTATCTTTGTAAATTGCTGTATTGCCGTTGGTAAATAAATAAATAAATCTATAGTATATAAACGTGAAATGAAAAGCAATTACATAAAAAAAATAAAGTAAGATATCAAAACCAAAGGTATTTAATAATTTTACAATGAAGAGTATATTTGGTGTTGGATGACAAAAGAGAAGATTGACAAAAGCTTTCAACGGCATTTCTCTTGTTTAAAAAGGTAACTCAAACATTCCAGATATGAGATGACTTATTACATGTTTCTGTATCATTATTTACATGTAAATACTGTTACATTCACCCACTTATTTTTACTAACGCTTTTTAATGGTGAATTCCTAATATTGTTAAGTGGAAGTGTTTGTATGAGAAGCCTGGAAGTGTTGTTAAACAATATCCTTTTTTGTAGCCTTCTGAAGGTACAAAAGACTGTGGCTTGAAGTAGGTTACTGCTTTTGGTCTGGGGATCAGTAGGAATTATGTGGTGTGGGATAAGACTAAGACTGGAACCCTAAAGGAGGGGTAGCTGGAGGCAAAGGTCTTGTGGTTTTGGTCCAGATAAGAACATTTTTAAAGTAATGAAAATTAGAGGCTAAATGTCATATTCCAAATTGGGGTTTCTGTTATATACTGGATTATTAGCAATAATTAGCTCCAATCCACTCTCTTATTTGCGTTCTTTGTGTCATAAGGGATAGCACTCAGCTTTATTTTAAAAGCAAGATTTTAGTTTAATTCATGAGCTCCTTCGTATATATTAACTGAAGATAAGATTTAAGGTAGCCCAAAGGGTTACCGACCGTTATAGTTTCGATTTATTCTGTGAATTTATTAATTTTAAAATCTTAGATCTTTACCGCCTTATGGCTATTCTTTACAAAGATTATTGTCTGAACTAAGGACGTTATTCATTAGATCATTAATCTTTGAAAAGTAATTAGGAAGTTATCGAAAAAGCAAGTGTCGTAAACAGTTCACCTAAATTCGTGAAAACAATAATTCATTTGTTACTACTTTATCGTAATATTAATTTAAAGTTTAAACTATGAGATGTGTAAGCTGTATAGTAACTGATGTAAAATTAAATTTTGTCCAAAATAATACATATAGAAATTTCATAACAAATAGTAGTCTGACTAAAACAAAACACAATTTCTACCAAATTAAATTAGTTAAAATTTTTTGGGTATTTTGGGAACCAGATAATTTCGGTATATTCTATGAAATAAACGAATTGATCTTTTTCATGAATTTTAGAATAATTTTTATTAGATCCATTCC